AAATATCTGATGCTGCTTGAGGACAAGGAAAACTGCGGCGCTTTGCCCGCTTGTGGTCCGGATCACTTTACCTGTGCGGCGCCCGTGGCTGGAAATAGTGATATGAACAAGGATTGCATTCCAGCGTCTTGGCGCTGTGACGGCCAGAAGGACTGTCCTGATAAATCCGATGAGGTTGGTTGTCCCACTTGCCGTGCGGATCAGTTCAGTTGCCAATCTGGAGAATGCATTGACAAGTCCCTTGTTTGCGACGGCACTACAAACTGTGCTAATGGCCATGATGAAGCCGACTGCTGCAAAAGACCGGGTGAATTTCAGTGTCCCATCAATAAGGTATGTTGTGTATATGCTCAGGGAAAAAACCATAGAGACTTTGCTCTTCTTATTAATATATATTGATATGGGGTCGAGGATAGCTCCTTTAATGCATCACAAACTTCGTGTAATAATATCTCCTAACGTTACAATAAGAGTGCGGGGAGACCCTGAACCTTCTATTATCAACCCCAAATGCAGTCGACGCTAGGCGCTCGATATCTATAAAATGAAATTATCAGTATATACTTATCTAGAAGCTACATGTAAAATTTGATCACTAGCCATTAGAACCGAAGAGATTTGCATGATTACAGGTTTTCGTTATCGGTTTGTATTGATTGCTTGTAAACGGGGCAATTTATCGATTATCAGAAACATCTACTCGTACTGCGTGGGCAATAGGATAATCTACATTCAATATTTCAAGCCTCTAGCCCTTGTAGATTCTCAGATTCTTGCGTTCATACATACGAATAGAAGGACATTGCTAGATCGACCTGGATATTGATGCTGATCAAGAATATATAAATATACTTAATGGGATCGGAGATGTCTCCTCCCTGTTATATACATTTGCACAAAAACATTATTCCCTTTTTATCCATTTTCAATGGATTTAGGTTATAAAAATGCATATTCCGTTTATTTAATTTATAAATTTAAATCGTTGTATACTTAAATCGTTTTGATCTTCCCATAGCTTTGCATCTCTGCTGCACTGCTTTGTGATGGCTGGGAGAACTGCGCTGATGGAGCGGATGAGTCGGTGGACATTTGTTTACAGCGCCGTATGGCACCAGCTTCAGATAAGCGCATTTTCATGATACTAATTGGCGCCACGATGATAATCATATTCTCCATTGTTTATCTGCTGCAATTTTGTCGAACGCGCATAGGCAAGAGCCGCACGGAACCTAAAGATGACCAGGCCTCAGACCCCCTGTCGCCGTCGACGCTGACTAAATCACAACGAGTCTCGAAAATTGCCTCTGTAGCAGATGCGGTTCGCATGTCGACGCTCAATTCGCGAAACAGTATGAACTCTTACGATCGTAATCACATAACTGGTGCCTCCAGTTCAACGACCAATGGCAGCAGTATGGTAGCCTATCCAATTAATCCACCGCCTTCACCCGCAACGCGCTCGCGTCGTCCTTACAGGCACTACAAGATCATCAACCAACCGCCACCTCCTACTCCATGCTCTACAGATATTTGCGACGAATCAGACTCGAATTATACTAGCAAATCAAATAGCAACAACAGTAATGGTGGCGCCACTAAATTAACATCTAGCTCGGCTGCCGCCTGTCTACAATTTGGCTATGACATTGAACCGTATCCGCCGCCACCAACACCACGCTCGCATTATCACAGCGATGTGCGTATTGTGCCGGAGTCATCGTGTCCTCCGTCGCCGTCCTCACGCAGCTCTACGTACTTTTCACCGTTACCACCTCCACCATCGCCAGTGCAGTCACCAAGTCGCGGATTTACGTAACATTATTTGAATATAAACGAACAAGGCAGTGTATCCTAGTTGCATTGTATGTATTCCTACCAATTTTCTGACTGCATTGTATATATTTATTTTTATTTAATGTGAAAAGAGCCTTATAATTAATAATTTTAACGTTAGTTCGCTTATGGGCTTGATCCCAAACGACCGACGTGTGTAAATAGCATAGCTATAATCTTCCTTATTTGTATTTCGATCTCGTTAAGTCTTATTTGCCGAACGACATTTAATATTATGTAATATAAAGTTTGTAAACAATAGACTGCAATCTTTTAAGTAAACTAAACAAATTAATGAAATAGATTAAATGAAAATAAAAAATAAAATACAATAACCTATTTTTTTACACGATGCAAACACACATTACTTATTCCGCGTGCCAAAATTTCTAAAATACACAAATATACCTACATATAATATAATTAAGATACGCATTATTTTGGTTTGTTGTAATTATTTTTAATTGTAAATAGCAAATTTTAATAGCAATATTAAAGAAATATTCATTTTATTTGATTTTCTTCTTCATTGTTATAAACACCAAAAAGTGCCTCAGTAATATGTGTGTTTTATTGTTTGATTTTTTACACAATTTTTAAACCATGATAAAACTAAAAAATATATATGTAATTTTCGCAATATATAACATGTTTATAGTTAATTTTTACTGAGTATAATTGTAATTACAAAACAACTTAGGCCTAAAAAATGTTATATTTAAAATACAAAATGTGCAGTATTTATAACTTTAACTTGTATTGTTTTTTATTCAACGATAGCTATGCTCTTTCCAATTTTTTCTGTACGGGAATGATGCATTGAGTTTAAATTAAGTTTGTAAACAAGATCCACTATTTATGTGTTTATATAACCATGCGATACATACAATGATAACGTATTTACTATTTTGTAAATGTGAATATATTCTATAACTATATCTTCGGTCATTTAAGTTATAGAGAATTTTAAATATGCTTACTTGCTTATATAGTTTGTTGTCGGCGGATACTGATCAGTCCTGTTGGAGGAGCACAGTTGCCCCCTACACAGTTTTGTTAATGCATTGCGAGGTATTTGCAACCGATTGAAATTGTACTTAATTTCCATTCCAAAGACATTGCACAATTCGACAGGGTTCAGTTGTTTTCTTTTATTGAATGAACGTATTCACAATTTTATTAATTTAAATATATTTACTTCAGCTAAAACCTTATTCGTTAAAGTTGTAGAGAATGTTAAATATCTTGGCTTGCTAAAATTGTTTGTTGACGGCGGATACTGATCAACCCATTTGTTTTCGCTTGTGGGCATTAATTGGCAATGCTTTCTGTTAGAGCACAACTGCCTATACAATTTTGTTAATGCATTGCGAGGTATTAATAATATTGCAGAAGCCGACAGGGTTCCTTTATTATTCTTCTCAAATGTCTGCAAAATTGGTACCAAAATCCTCATTTTTATACACTAGGCTTAAGCCTCTCCTTAAGGAGAACATTGTAATAATTCACAGTTAAAAATCCAACATGGTCTTTATTCGCCAAAATTATTAACTTGCTTACGTAAACCTAATGTACATATTATACTACTTAAATGTTGTCATAGTCTTCATCTAATTCGAAAAGCGATTCACTTATTGGTGCTGATGCCGAAGGGACCTTTGGAATGATTGGAGTTTTGCTCTTTCCAGCGATGTAGTTGACGGACGACCCAATTTTAGTGATTGAGTTGTTGTTGGCTCCACTTGCGCTGATCTTATCTGTTGGCAATATTCCATAGCTAATCTTCGCTGAGGTGGGTACCGCGCCAGCTGACACGATATTTGTAAGATCAATATTTATAACTGGCGGCGAAATATTTAAGTTTAACATTGCATTAGATGTGATGCCGGTATCAGTGCCTGTCGGACCCAATGTTGTCATCTGAACGTTGCTATAATCGATTTTAACAATAGGTTTGTTCAGCAAGTCGTAGCTGCATATTGGTGCAGGTATGGCAGTGTCTTGTGGTTGTCGACTACTGTTATTATCATTGGTGTTCGGTGGCCTGCCACGCGGAGTATACGCAGGCGTTGATTCAGAACGTGCTAGCTTCGTGGGCAAAAGTCCTGTCTGGTTGTGCATATTTTCCAGAGCTGCTGCTGTTTGCACTATAACTGAAGGTGTGGATGCATTGTGATTTCGTTTTTGTCCGCCTCCGTTCAAACTAATTGAGCGCACATAAGGTGTGTTTCCGTTGGGCAACGCTCGTAGTGATGTTGACGGAAGGCTAAGGTCATATGGCGTATCCGAATCTGGATATTGTTCCTCCGAGCTGTGTATGTCATCGTCATTATAATTAAACGCCGCTTCCTCGGCGACGCTAATGTCTGGTATATTCCTCACAAGCTCTTTTAAAAAATCGAATCTTTGCTCGGACATGATGCACTGTTTCATATGGGATGGTGACAAAGTTTTGGCGTTTCGCGAATTTGTTATGCGCAACGTTTTAGTTAAAAGTGACTCCACAAACAGCTCCAAAGTCCGTGATATGATAACGGGAACCGCCTGTGCAACCTTACCAATTTCTTCATCACTCTGCATTATTTTCTTGATCCGACCCTGTGAATTAAAGAAACCTCCAAATGAATATTTCAATGCATAAAACGCGTGTGCATCATATACAAACCGAAAATTTCATCGTTTTGATAATGATGCACGCACAACTTTTACGCATGAAATGCAGATCCAGTTATAATTATTTATTCGTTGTACTTACCGCTGGAAACCGCGCATTATACTTTTTCTTTTTAGAGGGCATTTCTAACTTTATATAATCTGATATCAACCAAATTTAATCTTAGCTGAATTATAATCCTACTATTTTAGTTGCTTGTTTTTTTTTTACACAAGAATAGTTCCAAATAGTTGGTTTATTGAGAATGTCAACAATTCACATGGAATAATAGTTTTCTACACATTCACCCAGAAATGATTGTTATAGGTCAGTTGACATTAAGCTACTTTCTTGATTACTTATGCAAAGATCTTGTTTTTACGATTATTTATTATAACATTTAAAAGAATTTTATTTCGACAACGTTGCTTGTAGCATGGCACTGTGAATGTTTAATTTTATTTACAAAGAATTTTGACAGTCTGGCCACACAGTGACAGTTCGCTGTGAATGTCAAATTTTACATCACAGAAAATTCATCTAACTTTTTATTTAACTGCGATTTAATTTGACTCTTATTAACGAATCATAGTGAATTAAATTGATGTCTAGTGCTGGTAAGGATCCATGCAAACCTTTCGCCTGCGCTATACAAGCTTGCTTAAAGGGTATGTAAATGAAATCCAGAATATTATGCAATGCGGCAAAATTTTAATTCACAAATTGACACGCTTTTACAGAACACAATTTTCAGGAACATAAATGCAGTGAGGCACTCGAGCGAATGCGTCTGTGCTGTGTAAAGTGGCATAAGGAGTCGATTTGTTGTAGCGGTATTGATTTGGAAAAATCATACTTACCAAAGCCGAAAACAGAAAGCAATCCAAAGTGATCATCAGGTGTGGTACAGAAATAAGTGTAGTTGCATTTGTTTCAATATTAATAAATTCTTGATCATTAGTAACAAATAATGCCAACACCTACCACAGCGCCACCGTATAAGCCGCCTAAAGATATTCAGGAATTGTTAGATAAAAAACAAGAAACGTATTTAAGAAGGCGAACAGCTGTGCTACCGAAGCGCTCATGGATAAAGCGTAATCCGAGATTATTTCAAATTACATTTATTACCACGTCACTGCTAATATTCTTCTCAAAGCCGCTTTACGACGCATTCATAGCAGATCCTTTACCGTTGAAGGGTGCATCTATACCACCCCATAAGCGTTAAGGAATGGAATCTGTGCGCAAAGCCAACACCCGACTGCGTAACTATCCGATTTTGCTTACAAAGTGTGCTGAACAGGCATCACTGTATGCGGCGTGCGTATCTCGGGAAATCAACGTTCAGCCAAAAATTTGCGAGAACGAGTTCAAAGAATTTTTGAACTGTATGCGTAAAACCGCCAAAGAACTAAAAACTAAGTTGTAAACGTACGCTTTTAAATTCTATTTCAAATATGTCGGAGACAACGGGCAAATTCCCGAGGTTACCCGTAAAAAACACTTGGCTACAAAATAAAAGCCAGTACATATTGCATCTCAGTTTTCAATCACATCTATTAATAGCCGCTATACTCCGACTTGCGCTTATTTTCTATGCCCACGTACAAGACACCAGATCGGCAGTGCCATACACAGATATAGACTATAATGTTGTAACGGACGGCGCTCGGCTAGCTTTAATCGGAGATACACCCTTTGCGCGGCACACCTATCGTTACAGTCCTATTATGGCATATATTCAAATACCAAATGTTATTTTGCATCCTGCATGTGGTAAATTATTTTACGCGCTGTTCGATTTACTTCTGGGAATACTTATTTATGCCTTAGTACGATTTGAGTTACAGCTGCAATATCAGAAAGAACAGAAATATTTACAAATGAAATATGATAAATCAATGCTGATAAAATCACCGCACTCGCACAAAGAATGTAAAGAAACTGAAAAAATAGCACGCATCTCGGCCTGCTTTTGGCTCTACAATCCGCTGACGGCAGTAATATCAACTCGTGGTAACGGCGATAGTGTAACCAGCTTCTTTGTGCTGTTAAGCATATATCTACTGATTAAAATGGATCATCAAAAATCCAAATTCTTGATTGCTTTCTGTGCCGGTTTGGTCCACGGATTTGTGATACACTTACGCCTTTACCCAATAGTTTTTAGTTTAACATACTATTTGAGCTTGTCGGATGCCGCTTCACGGAAATCTCGTGGACTCCTCCAAATGATTTGGCCTAATAAGCAGCAGATTTGCCTTGTGCTCGGAACATTATTAGGACTAGCAGCTTTTACATGGACTTTTTATGCACTGTATGGATGGAAGTATATTTACGAAGCCTATTTTTATCACCTTATACGAAAGGACGTACGTCACAATTTTTCGCTGCATTTCTTGCTGCAATACCTAAGCAATGCGGAGGGAGTTGATGAATCCAATCTTATATTAAAACTGCTTGTGGTAGTGCCGCAGCTAATACTTATACTATACTTAAGTCTAAGTTTTGGTCGATTTCAGCAGACATTACCATTTTGTGCGTTTAGTTTGGCCTTTGTCATCGTGACTTATAATTCTGTAGTTACTTCACAGTACTTTATTTGGTATTTGGCTCTGCTACCGGTATGCATAAAAAATTTTCAGCGTCTGTCTTTGGCTAGATGTGCGTCCCTTCTTGTTCTTTGGTTATGCGGTCAAGCTCTGTGGCTTCTACCCGCATATTTATTAGAGTTTAAAACATGGCATACTTTTTATTGGATTGGTATACAGAGTTCCGTATTTTTTTTAATTAACAGCTATATTTTATCCCAGCTGTTAAGGAACTATAGACTCAAATCCTATAAGATTAATTGTACAAAATGTTTATAAAAAAATAAAAAAGAATATAAATAATGATTGATGAAACCAAGATACATTTTTCCGATAATGATGCGAAAAGAAGCGTTTGTAGTCCGAAAGGCTGAGTATCTTGTTAGGTATACAAAAAAGAAGGTAAACAACGGATGTGGCAAGATAATGGTATGGCGGTTCTCACACACACAATGTGGAAACACAATAGGTCAACCCTTTTGAAATCCTTTAGGTTGAAGTTTGTCGAACCTTTAACTACAACGCGTGCTTTTTTTCAGGCCCGATGTTGCACGATGTGGTGAAAGGATTGTTTTTAAATTCAAATTGAAAATGTGCGCTTTTTTGTATGTATGCAAAAATATATGTAACAGGCGGAAGGAACCATCTCCGACATACCTATATACATATATTTTTGAACAGCATCAATAGCCGAGTCGGTCTGCCCCTCAATCGGAAAGTATGAAGTCAAGGATCTCAATAATTGTAAGAGCTAAAAACTTGAAATTGAGCGTACATAGTTGCTTCTAGTGCCAGTACTAGTTTGTTTTGGATAGCCGCCTCCACAACCTGTGGCTGTAAATCAAATAAACAAATTAATTGGAACTAACTATTAATTTAAGCCACAATTTTAAAGTATTTGTCTTACACGAATAATCTTAAGCAGAGGATCTACTGCTGAAATTTGTTCCAGACTGGTTTAGATATACATAAATTATTAAATTACACGTGTGCGTAAATGAACACTTGTTTGCCGCAGCTCTCGAATTGCAAGAATTTCTGTATACATGTACACGATACACATTCATACGAGTCTTTATTGAATTCTATAAACAGTATGGTAATTGTTTTTGTTTTGGTTTCAAAAAGGTCTAGGTCTAAAATTTGATGTTAAAAACATGGACCGGGCAAGCACCGGAAATACCAGCTACTAGTATATACATACATATTATTTTTATTTCGAGTGAGGTTTTGAATAAAGTATATTTATTTAAAAACATAAAACTATTTTCTTTAAAGGACCATTTGGTTGAAGTAAAGGCATTACATTACGCCAATTACGACTATTGTAACATATATAAATAAACCACCAGTAAATAGTTAAATAAGATAAAGGTAAAAACTAAATAAAACAAGTTTCTTAACAAATAGTTTATACATATTCTTAGGGGTGAAGCTTTCTTTAATACGTAGTATTAAAGCTAAAATAAAATTAATGTGCAACGAGTTAAACTCACAGTTGGGTTTTTGAAATTGAAAATCTTTACCAAACGGATAAAATAATGGCACTAAAACAATTATCATATATAGTTAGGTAAATGAAATGTAATTTTAAAATGTACATGACAACATTCTTTTAAGTAAAATGATTTAGAATTTATTCAAATTTTAAAGCTGCTTAATTCGCTATCGGACGTTTTGATGTCAATTTTTTTTTTTTACAATATTAACCCATATGTTTCCAGTCTGCAACATCTGTTAAAGAAGACTAGTGGATCTTTGTTTCATTTTTATATTACGATTTTTAATACATACAGTTAAGTTATGATTGTGTATATCCACAATATTATAGATATTAGTGTAGGTTTAATCTCCAGTCAAGTTGAATTACGTCAGGTGTTTTTTTTATTGTAGAATACACTTTTCTTTGTTGCCGCTAATGTCTACTTGTTCAAGCTCGCGCGCTATTTCATGGTCGTCCTCAATACTGTAAATAAATGATTAAAAGTTTTCTTTTTTATATATTTCTAGTGACAATACATACGCTATTTCTTGATTGTGTAAATGTTGCACCAGCTGATCTCTCTTATCAACAATAGTCACAAGCTCTTCCAACAACAGGCGCTCCTTTTCACGTTGCACCTCCGTTTTTCGCCAATCCTCAACAGATTGAGCAGCGCGCAGCTCCTGATTAAGCATTGTGAATTTGCGCTCGAGATCCTTTTCCTGTTCACTATCGGAAAAATTAACGGTGAATTGAATGTAATGTACGCTTTTTACGCTAATTCTTACAGAATGTTTAGCTGCATCTGACGCCTAAGGAGTGCATTTTTCTTGTTTACGAGTGTAAACCACTGTGAAAGCAATTGTTCTTCGGTTTCTTCAGTTTCTGTGGGAAAGCAAAAGCTGTTTAAGACCGACTCCCAACAATTGAACAAAGATTAAAATTATTTAACATTTTAGAGTCTAACAAAGTCGGTTATTGAAGTCAGTAGTTTTGGTTTTGTTTTTCGTCGTCGTCGCAGAGAGCTAAATGGTGATTAGTGATATTTTGTTCATTGTGGTTATGGTACAAATTTGTAAGGAATTTAGTTCGAGGCAGTAAAGACTTTTTAAACAAATGCAGCGCGTTGACTGGACGGTTAAAAGCAAAAACACATAAACGGATATACGGGCAGGCAGGCGTTTAGCTTTGGCGTGCTGTTGCGGGCATGGCAAAAGCAGTTAACTTATTCGGCTTTTAAGACACGACATTACCACAAAAACTGCGGGGACGAGAGCGCCGGTGTTTCTGGTGGGCTCTCTTGTGTTCATCACGTCGTTTCCGACAAAAGGCCATTTGATCAGTAGGCGCTACAATCTTAGCATTGACATCTTCTGCACTAAGGGCTTGTAACTTATCACAGAATGATTGTCGGGAGGACGCAACTGAAGCAGAGTTACATGGTGAATGACTATACGGTCCCACGTGATGAACGTGGTGAGAAACTTGGTTTGAGCCATGCTGATGACGATGACAATAATTTTCAGGTAACTGGTGTTGATATGTAGGCCGAATCGGTGAATAGTTAAGATTCGTAGTCACAAAACAAGACTGAGCGCGCGGCCTTGACCGTGTTTGCATCTTTATTGCGTGATGTTCTGGTCGCAGTTTCATTTCAAAAGCCTGAACTTCATCATGCTGCTTCTCCATCTTGCCAGAGGTGGTGGAATTGTCACTGTATGTCTCTTCGTCGTCATCAGTGCCACTGCCAGCACCGCTTGCACCACTACTAAATAAACTTTCATCATCCCAGTCAAGCAGCTTAATACGTATGACATCACCGCCACCAATGCTATTGCGTATTAACCTAAGGAAGGGATTTGTACCAGTTTTATTATTACTTGGATTACCGCCCATAACTGCACGCAGTTTGGCCTCCAGACTGCTAGCCTTTTGGTCGATTGCCTCTTGTTCGCGTTCCAATGCTTCTAGCTCAGACTCAATGTATGTAAGCCTATCATTCTGAAAAAGAAACTTTAATTAAATACATAAAATACAAGTATTTTCGGCACACCGAAATTTATAACTTTATACTCTTGCAAAATTGCATGGTAGATATTTTTATATTGCTTAAGCAAATTTATAATTCTTGTGCGGATTTATCGTCAAAGCTTTTATTGGCATAGACAAAAAAAACCGCAAAAAAGAGGGTTCAAAGATGTAAATTATCTTTTAAATAAAAATAAGGTTTGATCAAAACAGCGTTTACAATTTAAAATATAATCAGACATGAGGACAAATCATAGTAAATATATATGGATATATATATATATGTATATATATATTGTGATTATGTATATATATATATATGTGATTATGTATATATATATGTGATATATATATATATAAGACGTATCAAGCCGCTACTAACTTTTTTTTCATGCTTTGGTGAGATCCTTTCCACGACTGCGTTAAAGGATTGCAAAGGAGTGATGTTACCGTCGCTTAATCTATGACTAGGACTCGTGTGGTTAACGTAGTGATCAGGTTTATCCCGTACAAGAGCTATTTTATTTGAGGGAACGTCAATGTAAGAATCTCCGTTGCTACTGCCGTTGTGTATAGGTGATATAGTACGTTCAGGAGTATAGTTGAATCGCTTGAGCTTAGTTGGGCTTGTTGGACTGTCCACACCGCTATTTACAGGTCCTGCTATCTTATTTCGTGTTTCTAATATAAGTCGTCGTGCCTGCTCCCTTAATCGCTGCTGTCGATCCTCCTGTTCAAAATTAAAAAAAAAATTAACATTGAATTGTTTTTCTTCAAAATTAAAAATATACGATGCATGCAAGCTCAACAAGCAATATGCAAAAGGTACCCATATCTACTTACATCGTTCGCATCAGGGCGCTCATCACAATTTGAAATTTTTAATTTTTCCATCATCAGCTTAGCTTTTTCGCTCATTTCTTTGTGGCGCGTTAAAATTCGCTACGAAAATAAAAACGAACAAAACCAAAAACAGAAGCAAAAGCCGAGGTCAAAGCAGATGCAAAATAAATTTAAGTGAATGGATAAAAGTAAAGTAAGGCAAACGAACAAATAATAAAATTATATTCAGCAAATTCACATCGCTTTCAAATGCTTTCAAACTCGAGCAGTGGAATTTATATACCTTTCAATGCGCAAAGATATAGCTAAAAAAAAACACTTAAGCTGATTCGGCTTAAGCCTAACTTACATTTGTCGCATTAGCATCTAACGACATAGGCGACGTTGATTCCTTGTTAAGCTTTTGCATTTCCTCACATGTATCGCCGTTGCCATCGATAGGAGGAGGAGGAGTATGTCGACCCAGTGAGGATTTAGTTGTCTGATTTGCGGTCTGCATTGCATTGACTACATTTTTGTCTTTAGTTGGGGAAAGAACTTTACCCAAAATATTCTTTGAACTTGTCAATATAAGATTTTTGACGTCTTTTTTACTCGTGGGCGACAGCTGTTGTTGCTGACAGATATTTTCTTCATCGAACGAATTCTGATGTAATAGCTGTGTCTTCAGGTGCGAGAAATTTATTAGATTTTGCGACAGATTGTCAGACTTGTAGTTGCCGATAACGTAGCTGGACTCGTCCGATGTCGGGCCTGAATACAAAGAATATATGTATACAATAACTGCGTTATTGATGTTAAACTTACCAATTTGCTCAATTTGCAACTGCTTCCCTGTGAAGTGTGCCCGTAATTGATGCAGGTACGTCATGACTGCTAATTTGTCTGGTACTGTGAGCAAATTCATGTCTCGTGGCTCGATCACACGAGGTATGCCCAATGTTTCTGCCGCATCAAAGGCTATACGACAGTTACCAACAACGTCATGTGCACTTAACTTCGACATGTCTCTATGATTAACAATGGCCTTCACTTCATTTTCAATCAAAGTAAATAAAATAAGTACTTACATCAAACGTGGCATAAAATGGTGTATTATTGCACAAAACGCCATGCCATTGCGCCAGCTGGTAGTCAAATTTGTCACTTTAACATTTGGATAATCTTTGGTTACCTCTTTGCACCACTCTAACAAATCTTGTCCAGGGGTGTTATCCTTCAGAACGATCTTCTCCACAGGCTTTAGAGAAGCATTATTTACATTTGAAAATTTATTTGTGGTAGGTGTAGACTCATAATTTTTCTTTAAATTCAGGGGCTGAAGTTCAGGGCGCTTGGCAATAGGTACCATAGCCTGGTCCTCTATCGGCTTCGTTTGTTCCTCGGTAGATTGTGTGCCTCCAGTTTCCTCAGCAGTGGTAGAAACGTTTACTCTTAAGACTTCAGTTGATTCATCGTCATATGAATTTATATTCTTTGATTTTACTATGTCGACAGTGCTGCAATCATGTTTGTCAAAGTTGAGAGCTTTGCTTGAGCTACTTTTCACTTTTACTGCAGCCTTTTGTGCTTCTATAGGCGTAGATGTAAGAACTTCCTGGAACCTTTCGTTTTGATTGGATTTCAATAATTCAATAGCAATTTGATTATTTTCCTTAATCAGATCAGTGTCTTTAATAGGCGTCCTGAGAGTAACCAGTTGTGAATTATGTGCACTAGGAGTATTTAATGGTTCATCCGTTTTAACGATCGACCAAGGCTGTACGTTTTTATGATCCGCTTCTTGTTCAAAATGTAAAGCGTTAAATGTCTCGGCCAATGGAGTTGGATCTTCTGACAATGAAGGAACTACCCACACCAACATCATCAAAAAAGAAACAGGTTGATCATATTGTCAAACATATTACGTTGTGTCGTTAATTGCGTAGTGTCGTTTTGGAGATTGCAACGGATCAAAAATGAAAGAAAATGTAGTAACATTTTTATTATGCATACTTTTTAAAGACCTTTTGTGTTATGACTTTTTGTTTTCATTTACGGGCTACAGTTTAAAATAAACACCATCACCACTACAAACTTTTGTAAACAAAAATCAGTTTTGCAGGAATTTTATGTTTTAAAACATCAATATATATATACGTATGTCTTCAAACATAAATGTTTCCTCGATATCCCCAAATGTATGTTATAATTTTATCAAACAAGCCTTGCAATAATACTCCCTGTGCTATTTAGCATTTCCTTTAAAAAGACTAAGGATTTCTATATTTTGTTGACGTTTGGTAGAATAATTTTCAGACGAATTTTGTGAAGAAAAAAGGTCACTTGTACCGAAAAAAACAAGTAAGAGGTTTTAGTCGGGAACTCCCGACTAGGGGATACCGTAAACCCTCTTCTATTCTATTTTAGAAGTACGGAGTACGTTATCGATTATCGGACACAATCTCGATCTGCGCACTAGGTACTAGGAGCACCTACATCTAAAATTTCAAGTCTCTAGCTCTTATAGGTTCTAAGATCCTTGCATTCATACATACGGACAGACGGATATGGCTAGATCGACTCGGCTATTTATGCTGATCATATGGGGTCGGAGATGCTTCCTTCTGCCTGTTACATACATTTGGATTTTGCACATATACAATATACCCTTATACCCATTTTTAATGGGTTCAGGGTATAAAAACAAATGAATACTCACCGCTCAAAGGCGTTGGTACATCGGTACAACCATTTAAACTTGTTGTCATTTGCTCCAACTGTTGCGTGAAATCATATAAATTGTCCGAGATGTCCCCGGAGTTTTCCAAGTCTGGTATATCCTCTAAGTCGTCAAGAGGCGCTACATCACAGTTGTTATTGACGGACATAAATGAGACAACGCTTTGCATATCTTCATCACTGCAATGCCAAATTAAAAATATTATGTTCGTGCTAAAAGTGATTGTGTAAACAGTAGCACTTACGTTGCTTTACCCTCGCGCAAAAATACACAACTAATTGTCAATTCCAAATCAGCGGCTGTTATTTTCCGAGAAACTGGCTTAAGGTTCAACGTAAAACTCTGCTGTGTTGACTCAACACTAGCATATTTACGCATATTGATGCTTGCGTTTGCCAGTACTCGCTTTTTACCCAGTAGTGAAATCTATGTATATATATATATATATATGTATAATATAATTTAATATTCGGAAAACCATTTAAATACAAAATAAGCTATAAAATTAAAGAGAGGGAACGTTTTTTAAAACCACACTTCAAGAGAAAGTCGAAGTATCCTTCGAAAGTGTACAGTAAAATATTCAGTTGCATAAACTATAAAATAACTGTAAAACAAAAACTTCCCGCTTTTCCAGCCGTTCTTAATAGAAATGTGGGTCAACGATTTCCACGAATCTTTATGGAAAATCATTTAAAGTTGCGATTCAAAGAAATGTGTTTGAGCTATTTTGGATATTCCGACCGTAACTGTGGTAATTGGCGAAAAACGGAAAACTCTTTATTTATACAATGTCCGATTTTAAAGCCCCACAAAATAACTTAATGAATGTGCGTTTGTGGTAAACGGTTGTTGAAAGTTGAAAGTTTTTTGTTTAGATCTGATTAAAAATCACTTTCAATGATCTTTGTGACATTTGATTCGTGTTATACCCACAAATTTCGATCTTCTTGCAAGATAATTGCGTGTCGAAAGTTAATTGAGCGCACTTTTAAGTTTAATTTCATCGTCCTTAAACTTATTGTCAAATCACTACATACAGCGATTTTTGGCGAATTTCACAAGCGGCTGTGGAAATTTGTTGGCACAGTTGCAACTTTTTGGTTTACCATCGGATCGGATTCAAACTAATTTTCAAAAATCTTTGTCAATCTTTTTCCAACTCTCTTAAATAGATACCGTGGATGCAAGGTTTAATGAACGATAGTTTACTATTCAACTTCAGGAATGTCTCCATAAGGCTTTTGCTACATATATCGAAAGATGTTTTCAAGTCGATTTAAGATATTAGGAGCTGATTCAAATTATTCACGGGCGGAACCGAGTGAAAAAAATATATCTAAATTATAGGCACGAAACTTTGTCACGGGCCAGGAACAACATAATAAATGTTTATGCATGCGACTACTCACATCTTCGACCACAAATGTCCAGTCTTTGTCTTCAAGTTCATGAGTGCGTGGATCCTTAAATAATGTTACCGAAATAGCGTGATTGTCTGGCACTGGCCACGATATGTTTCCCACCAGTGGGTTCATCATATCTGGCTCCCATGGCAGCGGTGAGCTAGCAACACGCCTCGAACGTCTCGTCCAGACCACCGAAAGATTTGAAGGGCGCCTTAAAAAGCAAATAGTAAAAATAATATATTAGGAACACCCACCTCTTATAATAACATTGAGGCAAAAATATAATTACCAAAACATGTTTTTCTCTATATTTTTGACCACAATTTATTTTCGGTTTACATACAATTTGCTTGCTAAAATTTAAGATATACAGATAGAAAATACATATGTATTTATGTCCATTTGGACAACTTCACCAAACGTATATAATGTACTTATGCATATGTACAATATCGCAGAAACTACAAAAACCTTCATTGGTTAAGTATTTATTATTCGAAAGATTTGTTTAATTGACACATTTCTGAAGCACAGACTCACAACTAAAACTACATAAAACTTGAAGATATACTGTTTGTTGATAACAACGATTGGATATTTTTGTTTCAAAAACTGCAATGGTGCCTGCTGGTATCAAGAAAGTGCGGGCACCAAACTGTAAGTCATGCAGAGGCATTGACTTAATCATTTATATATATATATATATATGTATATATTTTAGTCGCTTATAGTAAAGTCGAGAGTGTGTGTAAAGTCAACAGGAAATGGAAATCATCTTTATACCCTATACTTATAAAATGTTTATAAGACATTAACATATTTCAAAGCAAACCATGTTATTTATATTTTACAGGCAGATTTTCCCGACGAAATCTCGATAGTTTAACAAAACTATACACATTAGAATTAAAATGACCAAAATTGTCTAACTTACCACTTAGCGGTGGTCTCCAAGCGCAGATCATGATAGGAGGCAGTGAACTGAAATTTCGCCGCACGTTTGTTAACTCGCTGCAAACGTTTCCAGACGCTGCCCATTGCGACCCAAAATCAGTTTAGTTTCCAAACTAAGGCACACACTCAATCCACATTCGATAGTTGGTCGTTATTTTCGTATGTTATGAACACGTTAAATACACACCTAACGGAAATATTCGCTTGCGGTTGATAGATGTAATTTTGGACTATTACTGACTATTTCCCTGACTCTTGTTATAAGTCAGAGCTCCTGTAAAAATATAGAGAAAATTTACAAGATTTATTACTTTCGATTTTGTTAAATTAAATTAATTATACCGTGTTTTTTTTTTAAATAATAATTAAACTTAAAAGAGTTATAATACTACATTTTTGAATATAAATATGATATTTGACCACTCTTTGAGGAAGCACAAATTCAAGTGTCAATTTTATTAATCTATAAATGTAGATACAAACTTATCTACTTCAGTCAACACAATGCATCGGCTTTGGCTGCGAAGCCCCTCACGCAACACTACAAATTGTTTGCGGTCCCTTTAATTTTTGTAGAATATATACCAACATACATGTGTATGTGCCTAAGAATGTACATTTGATGACCTTTAGATGTCAGTTTTGTATTTTGCGTTTCTTATATATAAAAATAAAACATAAAAACTGCATAAAATATTGGTGATTATTCTCTTTATCCTTCTAGTTTGTATTTACACAAATGCATACAATGTTATTATGGTACATCCGCAGATATTCATGCCAGACACTTTAAAAAATTGTAAGTTATATGTACGTGAGTATTGTGTGTACATACATACATACATATGTATATGAATGCTTCAATATATAGCACCACAATGACATCACGCTCGTTTGGAGCCAAATTTCTTTATGCGTTCATTTTTGTTCATCGCATTCAAGCAACACCTTGACGCACTTATTATAAACACGACACTGGTTATTTCGTATTAAACATTTTTAACTTTATTTATAATAACTTGCAATTCTTGAGACCCAAACAGAACACAAAAAGGGCGAAGAGCGCATAATTGAGATACAAAACGCAAATATGATCCGATATGTATCGAATATTATCGATACCTTCATTCAGGAGCTCAAAGCGCCATTATCCCAATTCAACTACTCCAAGTACCCACTTTTCCAGCAAATAAGTTACTTGAGAGACGGTCGCGATTCAAAGGTTTATTTATATATTTAAATCGTTTTGTTTAACATTAATTAAAATTAATTAAAAAATTAAGCGTGGCTGTTGTTTTTAAATTTATATGATCAAGAGAATGCAATTTAAATTGAATGTGTTGCAGTTATGAATCTACATATGTATGGATGTGTAGGCATACGAATACTATTTGTACGAGTCTCAAAAAGTGTTTGTGTTGTAACGCATCGGCGTGGCAGAAGGTTAAAGAAAATGTTTAGATTTTTTTTTAAACGAGTACCTATTCCATAAAAACAAGGTATTTAAAATATTGAGAAGTGCTTCTGAATACACACACACACATGGACATAAATATGTATGTAATACAAAAGCTAAGCATAGATGTCATATATCACAAATAATTTGTAACCAATTAAAAATAAAAAAATTTAAAAAAACAAAAAAAATTCAAATTGCAACTACACAACCAATAATTTGTCAGGTAACCCCTTTAAATATGTGAGTATACTTAAAATGTATCCCTACTGCCACGCCAAATTAACACCACACATTTTTCACACATACAAAATTAAGATTTCTTGTTTGCCTGCGATTGTTTTCCTTGTTTACAGAAGTCCTTGTAAGCACGCTCAGTCTCTTCGTCCATTTCCGGGTCGAGATCCAAATCGTTATCTCTTACATCAAATTCGTCACCATCGCTGCCGGTAGCATCATCCTCAGCGGCGAGAAAATCAGTTTCCTCGGCTGTAAGCTCGCGTCCATCTGGGCCATAGAAGACGGGCTCGTCGCTCAAGCGTGGTGGCTCTGGTGGCTTTGCAACAACATCATCATCTCCGCCAAGAGCATTCGATACCTTCCGTCCCCAATTGTTTTGCTGCAATGCAATAACATTGGCAACCATAGCGTATTTACCAGGCGACTTAAATTCGAACGCCTGTAATAAAGCAATAATATATTGCATGTCCTGTTTGCAATCAGCACTTAGGTCGTAACCGGCCAACTTCAATGTCTGGCATATACAGCGCACATTTTCAGAACTCTCATATGCTAAAAGTTGTTTCAGCGAGTACACTATATTAACAGCAATGAGCTGGATTCGGGCGTCATCATCGCCACGCAATTGCATGTACAATTCGGCTAGGAAGAGGGCTGTCTCCCTCACCTTTTGCTGCTGTTCTACTGATTGCATATACTTATCTACCTCAGCACGGTGATAGTCAAGCTTACATTTAAGCAAGGTGTGAAACAGCGAATCCGGCTTGAGATTGAGCATATGCAGTAAATTATACAATTTAGCTCCCATGTACCGAAAATTTGGTTGTTCAATTGATTTTTCAAATATATCCTCCATGGCGATTGAGAGCACATAGTTATTACTCTCCATTCCATCAAAGATTGTTAGGAAACGTGATGCAATTGTATCGAATTGTCCGGGATTCTGGATGGATGAAAATATTTGCAAACATTTAAAAAATTTCCGATTATATGAAGTATAAAGGTTTCATTATTCAAATTGTTACTCACCTGGTTAAGGCAATGTATTACAGTATCAAGATATTCTAAAGCAATTGTTTCCATGTCAGGATGGGACGAGGCCGACGAAGTTGAAACAGCAGCCGATGAAGTCGATGGTTGTGGTTGCTGGTGGAAATATTGCTGCTGCTGCTGCTGCTGCTGTGGCTGTTGTGCAATTTGTTGGAATGAATTATTTAAATGCGCATGACGTTGAAATTTCGATTGTGATTGTTGTGTGTGTTGTTGGTGTTGCAGTGTTTGTACCTGCTGCTGTTGATAGTAATTGTTCATTGCACCATTATGCGGTGGTTGTTGACCAATATGCAGACGAGCTTGAACCGAGTTTGACAGCTTTTGCATATCATTGTTATACTGCAGATTTTGCTGGTGATGATTGTAATTTTTTTGCTGCTGATGCTGTTGCTTGAGTCCATTCAAATAACGCTGTTGGTGTTGTTGAGCATAAGGTGCTGGCCCTGACGGTTGATGTTGATGTTGATATTGCTGTTGCTGCGGTGGCGGTCCACGCTTACCTATATTACTGTTACTCGATTGGTTAGGTATAAAAACAGTCGCGCTAGCCGAAAGCTTTGAATGCCCGAATCCACTTGCCACGTCGGCCATAATTGGTGCCTGTGATGGAGCTGCAAAACTAACAGGAGGACCTGGTGCAAATGCAGCCGGAGCATAGCCAACAGAGGCAAATTCATTAAAAAGGTGGGCCTGTTGCTCCAGAGGCAAAGCAGTGGCGAGTTGTGGTGCGATAGGAATAGCGGCACCTGGTCCAGGATTCGGTCGGCGCAACTGCTCGTATTGTTCCTCGGGTTGAAAGGGTGCACGGCATGACATAGCGGTAGCGGCGTCGGACTCAAAAACTAAAAAATAAATATGTGCGTGAAAGCCTATTTCATTTAAACAATTGTAAAAATTAAAAATGCAAATCACATTCACGCTCCATTGCGGTTACGTCGAGTGTCGCTAATTCGGTCAAAGCAGCGGACATTTTGTTTTCCTCGTTTTAAAATTATTTGTATTTTTATTATTTGCACAAAGCTGGTCTTCAATCCAAATCAACGATGACTGGACTAATATTTTTGCTAAACATTTAATGTCACATGTATTTAATGTTATTTTCATTGCCTACCTTAATTGTCTTAAAAATTTACGTATACGTAGATGATATTTTTTTTCTTCGTCTTGCTTGCGTCGTCACCTTTAGCTGCCAATTGAACTTTCTATTCGCGTGTGTTTATAGAATATAAATGTATACCTGATTTAATATTAAAGAGCCATATTGTATATTGAAGCGTAAAGTGAATATTTAATTTATAATTAATAGTTCTTACCAGTTCAGTTTTTCCTTTTCAGAAATTTGTTGCAATAAAGTGCGAATAACTTGTTTTCACCGCGACAGCTACATAGAGTTGATATTTAACTATTATCGATATGTTGATGTTTGGTATAACAAGTTTGTATTTTTCAACAATGTAGCATTGTAGCAATGTTTGGGTGATGAATAAAAAGAAAATAACCAGTATCTACAGTAATTTATGTATTATTGTTGCATTTCATATCGCTCACTTTGTAGCTGTCAGTATATTTTGTGGCAGCAAAATAGTTTTTTATTACTTCTACATATACGGTCACACTGTCAGAACAATAAATATATAAACAAGCGATATCAATAGTGATTTTCATTAGATCGGTACTTACATATGTATATGTTTCTGCATTATTTTCTAGTGTTCAGATCTTGTTGAAAATATCATATCTTAAAAAGACGCAAATATATTTGTGATACGATTATAATGGCAATACACATATGCATATAACAAAGCATGTGTAACTTAGCTGTGCATCTCGTGTTTGTAAATTAATAAAATATTTCATATCACTTGTTATTTGCAATATTTACATACATTGTAAGTACATTTTATCCAATCCAGTAAATTCCAAAATGAACAAAGACGTTCCGAAGATTTTTAAATAAAAATATATACAACAATATATACATATCACAAGTCATTGAACTTACTTATACCCTGAGCAGTAAAATGAATACAGAAAGGTATTATGATTTTATACATCTGAAATAGAAGCATACATGTTTTTTATTGCATAGTTCAACAAGACAAAGGTATTTTATTAGATCAATACTAATCGATTTAAATACATATTAGCAAGCAATATTTTGGGTAAAGTACGTACGATGAGTGAGAAAACGAAGAGATAAATAACGAGACAGGGGACAGAGTATAGCTAAGTCGGCAACTTTTGAATAGAACAGTCTTAGTTCATTATTTGGGTTATATGCGTTGATGAGTCGTTTGCACAAAAACCACATTTCAGGCACATCAGAAACGACATTAAACAAAATCCTTGACGCTTTTATAAGTCACCCTCAAGCACGACCCTGGGCAACAGTGTTGTTTGCCCATACCAAGCAGCGACAAATAATCTAACTTTTCCTTTTATATGTTATTTTCAATTATGTACACTTTCAACATTTATATGTTTTTGCGTTGTGTATGTAATTTGGATCGATGAACGAAGCAAGAAATTTCAGTATTCAATCATTTATCTTGCCGAAATCAACAAATTGGTTAAACTCTTTAAAATCAATAAATATTGTTTATATAATATTTATAGTTTTTCCATTGAAATTAAGTATATTTTCTGGGATAATTTTTGGACTTTCTAATTTTCTATTAAACTCGAATTCTTTTTAATTTTGTTCAAATAATAATACTAAATAGTTTTTGTTTTAAACACTAAGTTGTTGTATTTATAGATCTTCCTTATTATTAAGCAATATAGTTATATACTATAAAAATAATATATTATTATGTATTATTAAGCAATAATATTTAATATCCGGCATCTCAAATATAGTTGCAGGATTTAACGATTAAAATGAGTTGCTGCAACAGTGTGAATGAGCAGCATAGCTATGGGGATATAATCCCGGTTTTTCTGGAAGATTTTAAAAAGGATTTTGATTGCAAAGATATTGAGGATATTTTGCGAATAATATTAAAAAAAAAAGAAGTCGATGATATTGTGAAAATGCCCCATCCATTGCAAACATACCGTTTATTTTGGACTTTGCGGAACCAACGAAAGGAAACAGTTAAAAAGTTTGTTGAAGAAGGTCTTAAGGACTCACACGGGCCCAACTATGGTTTTCTAATGTCCGCCATTCAGAAAGAATGTATTGATCCCAGCTTGAACACTGAAACTTACATTCAGGAAGTTGATCGCCTGTATAATGACAATCAAGAATTCACAAAATATAACGTACCAAGGATTGAACCTTATTTGGAACTGCAGAAGGCCTTGCTTGAGCTGAGGCCGTCGAAAAATGTTGTTGTCGAAGGCGATCTTGGAGCTGGCAAGCAATGGCTTGTTTTAGACGTATGTTCCTCGTACGTTGTGCAACGGAAAATGGACTTTAAGATATTTTGGCTAGACGTGCGAAGTTGCCTTTGCCCAGAGAGTCGTTTAGAAATGCTGCAGTCATTTCTTTACCAAATTGCTCCCAACTTGTGCAGTTACTGCAATCAAAGCGTCCCATTACGCATCGAAAGTGTGCAAACTCAGCTAAGAAATATACTTAAAAATAAGTCTTACAAAAATTGTCTACTGGTTTTACGCAATGTTCAGAACAAAGAAACGTGGCAAGCTTTTAACCTAGGATGCAAGATCCTACTGACCAGCCGGGACAAGAGCGTAGTTAATTTTTTGTCGCCAGTAACTACAACTCATGTCACTGTCAATGATGTCCTCACACTATCCGAGATGGAGTCTTTATTTGCAAAATATCTTTCTGAAAATCAAGACGATTCGGTCGAGGATTTAACGGTAGCCCTTTATCGACAGCAAATAAGAAATCCCCTTCAATTGAGTGTAATCGCAGAAAGCATACAGGATGGCCTTTGTACAATTGACAATTGGAAACAGTAAGTATCCAATATCTTACCTTATAAATATATATATAGAATATGCCTATTCTAATAATATATCTTAACAGAATAAACTCCGCCAAATTGACTACTATAATTAAAACCTCCTTAAATGTATTGGAGCCTAAGGACAGACAACTCTATGAAGCACTATTTATATTTCCCGACTCTGCCCATATACCTATTCAGGTAAGTAGAGCGAGTATTCAGTAAATAATTTTCATTTAATTAATTTTCTTATACAGCTATTGGGCGCCGTTTGGTCAGTTACGGACCCGATACACGTCGTCAATAAATTAAATAAGTATTTTTTAGTGAAAAAGCATAAAGATAAGCAGAATCGCCTGACGATAACTCTACCTAGCATATATAGAGAGTTAAAGTTACCTATTAAGAATGAAGCTGCATTAAACAGGAGAATTATTGATTATTACAAGTAAGTTATTTGAACACAGGTTTCTTAACTTTTTAATTTTTAATGATTCCTTATCTGTTTAGCATACCTCAAGTTTTTGACAGTTACAATGGCCTGACTTTACCTCATCTGGACAACTATTTTTATAGTCATATTGGCGATCACTTAAGCAAACTCAATAACAGCCTTGAGAAAAAGAGTTTATTTCGAAAAATATTTCTTGATTTTCGTTTTCTCGACCAAAAAATACGTAATGACTCTACGCCTTGGAATGCTCGAGGATCTGTTCTACATACTCTACAGGTTCTAAGGTTCTACGGAGAGCAAATAGCTGGTAGGAAAAAATCAAGTATATACATACGTGATCTAAAGGATTTTTTTCTAATCTAAATAGATAATGATCTTCTTTGTACGCTTATGGATTTTTTGCTTAATGCCGAGGAAAAGTTAATAAGATCGGAATTTACTTGCTTGTTGCAAATTGCATTAATGACTGCGGAAGGCGCGCTTTATGATGAAGCGTATCGACAAGCGCAACTCTTTCCTAATTATGTATGGTTTACAGAACGGTAAATATGTTTGTATAGGTATATTTATATATACATATATGTATAGGTATATTTATATATACATATATAATATATACCTATATTGATATAATCGATGTATATTTTTTGAATGTATTTTAGTGGGCGGTTCAACCAACATCGTCAAATTATTAATTTGGGTGACAATCAAGTGCGGCATGCAATTTATCTGGACAATGACTATTGTCTGATGGCACTAAGCAATCAGCAGCTATTGCTAACTGATGTGTCATTAGAGGGAGATATGACCTATCTGTTAAGCGATGAAAATAATCCCTGTGATATTATCGAGATGCGTGTGTTTAACAACCAGTCGCACCTCTTAACACTGTACAGCAACGGATGTTTAAAACTGTGGTCGCTACAGCAGTTGCTTCACCGTAGCTGCGGTTGTGAAAGACCACAACTTGCCCAACCACCTAAGCATTCTAAATCATTCTGCAATGTGCAGTTTGTAAATAGCGCAGTTCAACGTTTGACCAATACCCACGCGGATCAAAATGTGTCATCATTTTTTCTCGATGAGAAAGATGAAGTAGAAAATAATTTTATTCAACTTCATGTGGCCTTTACCAACGGAGATATTTGCATATGCGACTGGGATAAGAAGGAGGAAAAATTTAAGCAATCGCATACACCAATTCTAAAGACACAACAGCGACACGTGAAATGCTTTTCAAAAGTTTTGGATCGGTATTATGTTCTGTGCACAGATGATTGCACATTAACTGTTTGGGACCTGCTCCGCGGATCAAAAGAAACGGAACAGTTGTTTCAAACTGAAGAAGCGCTTACAATGCAAACTTATATTGACAGATTCGATGATGGCAGCCTTCACACAATGTTGTTGTTGATATTTAAATCTAGCGTCTGGCGACTTAGATTCAAACAAGCAGACAGAAATACTATTAACCCTCTAAATCAAGAAGCGTTAAAATTTTCGGATATAGGCGCTGTATCTATAACATGTGGCAGACTATCCAAAGACGGGCGTTATCTTGTTCTTGGGACGTTGGAGGGTCTTATTGTGTACGATTTAAAATTTTCCGAACCCGTTCTGCGAAGCAACGTCAGCGAGCACATTGTTTGTTTGGATGTCTATGATCTGAATGATCCTATATTGAAGTACATTGTTTTATGTGGTGCAGCTGGAAAAAATGTTTTACACTTGCATACCTTGCGAAACGTTCCAGGAATTGACAAACATGCTATAACATGGATTCACAATGCCAATAGAGAACAATTTGAACCAAATGTATACCTGCGCCCGCTCTTAAAAATGATCGATGACGGAACGCTATTTATCGTAGACTCAAAATCACGTATTTATCAAATACCAACAGAATTAGTCAAAAAGCATAGTGGCGCCTATTGGTCAACAATTTCAACACCGCCGATGCATGGGCACAACCACATCACTGCTTTACACGTTTCCAAAAATAAGACAATTTATGCCGGATATAATAATGGTAAAATATTCAACATTAC